TTCGTTTATATAGTGACATTCGTTTATATAGTGACATTCGTTTATAAAGTGACATTCGTTTATATAGTGACATTCGTTTATAAAGTGACATTCGTTTATATAGTGACATTCGGTTATATAGTGACATTCGTTTATATAGTGACATTCGTTTATAAAGTGACATTCGTTTATATATTGACATTGAAAAGCAAATGTAAAATGGCAATTACAAGCATAAAAATAGTGGCTGTAAATTGCCTAAGCCATAGACTTGAGCACATGTTCCTTTAGCGTACAGTAAGTTGGCTGTTTCATTGGAATGATAGGTATAACGCATACTATAAATTGGCATGGCTTTGGTTGGATTATCTGTATGTGCATTAGTTGTGTGATTGACTGGTGTGTATGTTCCTATATCGCTCTGTTAACTGACTTAACGTTAACGAGTGTTAATAAGTTTAATACAGGATTAAAACATTGACTTACCAAAATAATTTTATAAAATCATCGCGTATCCTGAATTTCAGACGAACTAAAACACTGTGAGTTAAGAAACTGATGACTTATTGGTATTGCATAGAAGAGGTTTGATGCATTTATTTCAAAGGCGACCCATCAATATAGTTACTTTAACGAGAGTGATAACATTTGTTTCAGGTCCATAGCAATTCAAATCCAGTCAACGGGTTCGGTGGAGCCGGAGTGGTTCCAATCTGTGACCATCATGTTCTCGGACATTGTCCATTTCACCTCCTTGTCCGCAGAATCCTCTCCAATGGAGGTAACTATGACAGCACCTATACAAAGTTTAATAAATATGTTGTTTGAATTCAAAACAATTTCTAAAATTAACTAATTATTCTTATTAGCCAGCGCTTTAAGCGAAATCGGGAAAAGTGATTTCGGGTGGTCCGTCCGTTTGTTACAAGTCGCTTTCCGGAGGGAATCTTACGCAAATATCATTAAGAGTAACCCGAACTGAGAAAACTCAAAATATGATTCATATGAGTATAACAAAAATCTGTGGAAATCCAATTATGTAACGGGTTTTTCCGCGATTATGATTGGTGGACATAGTTCGACAATGACATACGTAATGATGCATTTAATCAACAAATAAGGGTTTGGTTGTATAATGACTAAGATGTTCAAAGATGATTCTGTGCATATTTAATAAGGCTAAGGTTCCGGTTTATTATTTAGTATCTGTCTCTCTTTGATTTTTATATCGGTTTGTACTCGTCCTCGTGTTGAAACGGTGTAATATTTGATTTTAATTTTGTATCAATATTGATTACATGGCCTATAATATAAATTCGAATTTTAATCATATTTTTATACTCTAAGTCATGGCCAAGATATGCTATATGACAAGTACATGGGTCGCTGCACTAAAAGGCTGGCATCGTTTTAGAATATTTGACTAATGATAACTCATATAAAATGTACTGTTGGTAGACTATTTAAATATACATATTATAAAATAATCGATAACGGCTTAGTGTACACAAATATGTATTTGTTGGTTATTTTCTATTCACAGATAGTACAAATGTTGAACGAATTGTACTCTGCATTCGATGACACCATTGACGAGTTCGACGTTTATAAGGTAAGTTATTACACGAACAGTTGTGAGGAATATTTCTGCATTGATACTGAATTTTGTTTAAAACGTCGATAGCATCATACCTATATTTGTAATATTAACAAATTAATATGATGAGACAGTTAATAAACAAAGAACGTTTATTACTATCTATCGATAGCATCATATCTACATTTGTAATACTGAAGAATTAATATGATGAGACAGATAATAAACAAGGAATGTCAATTACTATCTATCGATAGCATCATATCTATATTTGTAATACTAAAGAATTAATATGATGAGACAGATAATAAACAAAGAACGTTTATTACTATCTATCGATAGCATCATATCTACATTTGTAATACTAACGAATTCATATGATGAGACAGATAATAAACAAAGCACGTTTATTATTATCTATCGATAGCATCATATCTACATTTGTAATACTAAAGAATTCATATGATGAGACAGATAATAAACAAAGAACGTTTATTATTATCTATCGATATCATCATATCTACATTTGTAATACTAAATAATTCATATGATGAGACAGATAATAAACAAGGAATGTTTATTACTATCTATCGATATCATCATATCTACATTTGTAATACTAACGAATTAATATGATGAGACAGATAATAAACAAAGAATGTTTATTACTATCTATCGATAGCATCATATCTACATTTGTAATACTAACGAATTAATATGATGAGACAGATAATAAACAAGGAATGTTTATTACTATCTATCGATAGCATCATATCTATATTTGTAATACTAAAGAAATCATATGATGAGACAGATAATAAACAAGGAATGTTTGTTACTATCTATCGATAGGTGGAGACGATAGGAGACGCCTACATGTGTGTGTCCGGACTACCACAACGAAATACTTACCATTTCAAGGAAATGGCCAAGTTGTCTGTGTCTATATTGACGCTGTCCGACTCCTTTGTGATCAAACACCGCCCTGATACCGGCCTTAAACTCAGAGTAGGAATGCATTCAGGTATACTATTCTCTAACGTGTCTGATTTACTTTTACACAAGTAGTTCTTCGGACATGTATATTTCGATCAATACATTCTCATCAGTCAAAAATGTAAGGAAGTCGGTTAACGATATGTACATTGTACTAAACAGCAGTAATTACTTCTATATCACAGTTAACGATCTGTACATTGTACTAAACAGCAGTAATTACTTCTATACCACAGTAAACGATATTTACATTGTACTAAACAGCAGTAATTACTTCTATAACACAGTAAACGATATGTACATTGTACTAAACAGCAGTAATTACTTTTATATCACAATAAACGATATGTACATTGTACTAAACAGCAGTAATTACTTCTATATCACAGTAAACGATATGTACATTNTTTGGTTTGTATGGCGGTGTGTATGTATCTGCTTACTCGGTATGTATGGCGGTGTGTATTGTACTAAACAGCAGTAATTACTTCACAGTAAACGAAATGCACATTGTATGTCACAGTAAACGGCAGTATGACAAGTTAATCATTATTTACGACACGTAAAAGAGTACATATATAAATGATACGGTATAGTCAGTATGTATGTCAGAGAAATCATTGTATGTATGGCGGTGTGTATGTATCTGGTTACTCTGTATGTATGGCGGTGTGTATGTATCTGGTTACTCGGTATGTATGGCGGTGTGTATGTATCTGGTTACTCGGTATGTATGGCGGTGTGTATGTATCTGGTTACTCGGTATGTATGGCGGTGTGTATGTATCTGGTTACTCGGTATGTATGGCGGTGTGTATGTATCTGGTTACTCGGTATGTATGGCGGTGTGTATGTATCTGGTTACTCGGTATGTATGGCGGTGTGTATGTATCTGGTTACTCGGTATGTATGGCGGTGTGTATGTATCTGGTTACTCGGTATGTATGGCGGTGTGTATGTATCTGGTTACTCGGTATGTATGGCGGTGTGTATGTATCTGGTTACTCGGTATGTATGGCGGTGTGTATGTATCTGGTTACTCGGTATGTATGGCGGTGTGTATGTATCTGGTTACTCGGTATGTATGGCGGTGTGTATGTATCTGGTTACTCGGTATGTATGGCGGTGTGTATGTATCTGGTTACTCGGTATGTATGGCGGTGTGTATGTATCTGGTTACTCGGTATGTATGGCGGTGTGTATGTATCTGGTTACTCGGTATGTATGGCGGTGTGTATGTATCTGGTTACTCGGTATGTATGGCGGTGTGTATGTATCTGGTTACTCGGTATGTATGGCGGTGTGTATGTATCTGGTTACTCGGTATGTATGGCGGTGTGTATGTATCTGGTTACTCGGTATGTATGGCGGTGTGTATGTATCTGGTTACTCGGTATGTATGGCGGTGTGTATGTATCTGGTTACTCGGTATGTATGGCGGTGTGTATGTATCTGGTTACTCGGTATGTATGGCGGTGTGTATGTATCTGGTTACTCGGTATGTATGGCGGTGTGTATGTATCTGGTTACTCGGTATGTATGGCGGTGTGTATGTATCTGGTTACTCGGTATGTATGGCGGTGTGTATGTATCTGGTTACTCGGTATGTATGGCGGTGTGTATGTATCTGGTTACTCGGTATGTATGGCGGTGTGTATGTATCTGGTTACTCGGTATGTATGGCGGTGTGTATGTATCTGGTTACTCGGTATGTATGGCGGTGTGCATGTATCTGGTTACTTGGTATGTATGGCGGTGTGATGTATCTGGTTACTTGGTATGTATGGCGGTGTGTATGTATCTGCTTACTCGGTATGTATGGCGGTGTGTATGTATCTGGTTACTCGGTATGTATGGCGGTGTGTATGTATCTGGTTACTCGGTATGTATGGCGGTGTGTATGTATCTGGTTACTCGGTATGTATGGCTCACAGTATGGTGAGTGGATCTCCTCCTGCAAGAGGACAATTCATTGCGAAAGCTAGCCCTAGGGACCCAAACCATGCAGTCTTTCAAATTGAAGTGCTTAGAAATAAAACAAAACATGTTGGATTTGAAAAGTATGAAAAAAGTATGAGAAGCATAAATAAAACGCTGATTGTTTCTAATAAAAGAACAGTTTTCTAACGATAACGATGATTTCAGTAGCAATAGTTTAATTCGTGTATGGATTAGAATATTATACTGAAATGACCGAAAACATCTAATCGGTGTTTACACACGAAGCCTTTATACCAATCTGATTTTATCTTTCCGGTATGGTTAATTAAGGATGTTAACATGATTTTTATTCAAAGCTGAACTTATCATTAATACGAATTATTTGGTATTAATTTAAAATGTACAAATTAACTCGATGTTGTTTTGGTGAATCCTAGGACGTCATAGGATTTAGAGTAACATTTGCCATACTTTTAGAACGTGAAAATATTTATTTTGGAATACTCCAACACATTCTTAATATTATAATGAAAATAATATCCAATAGGTTTTTATTTCGCATCACCATTATTCTTGTATCCAGGGTCATGTGTTGCTGGCGTGATAGGTCAGAAAATGCCTCGATATTGTTTATTTGGAGACACGGTGAACACCGCCTCTAGGATGGAGAGTACAAGTGAAGGTAGGCAGAAACCATTTATCAGGAATGAACGTGTTCTTCCTGTTTGAAGGATTGAAGGATTTAGAGGAAATCTTAATTGTGTTACTTTCAATCGTTGAGAATCCGAAAAACCGTTAAGATCGATCATTGCATTTTTAATCGAAATATTTCTAGTACCAATCAATGCGGTTTTACAGGTAACTGTTTTAAAATGCGGCCTTGATATCTGCCAAACCAGTGGATGATTTTTAGTAAGATACTAACAGAGAGGTTCCCCGTATAAGTGAGTTGTTATTATCTTAGGTGAGTAAATGAATTGAAAAAAATCAACAACAAAAATATACAGAAATAACCTGTTTCTCTCCTTTCAAGTTAGTAGACCCTTTCTTGCATATTGTTCAATTATGACTAGATAAGAGGCATTTGGGCGTTAACAGTAGAAATTAGCATGTAAAAAAGCAATATAAAGATTCGCCAATAAAATTATGTCAGAATGTAGCAAACGTATACCATCAACAAACATGTATGTCGTGTAATGATAAGTGCACGTGGTATATGTAAGAAAACATATAAAAAGCCTCCAATGTACCAGTTATTAAATGTTGATTATAACCGAATTCAACACATCATTTAAGCTTTACGACATTGAGAAAATATCAGTTAAATGTATTTCAACACTTTTTCCGTCCCCTGTGTAGGGGATTGATAACCCAAGAGTGAAGGAATCCAGAATCTGGTAAAGCTCTTAAGAACCTCTCCATCTTTGAACACAAAAAAAAAAAAAATATTTATCCAGGTACATGTATCAAGAAAATTGAGAAGAAGAAGACATTAAACATGCTATCAATATTATCCCTCTTAGCCCAGTTTTGGGAACCATATCATTCGCATTTCTATCTTTAACTTTAACGCACGAAGCAAAATGAGCAGTAGAGGGATTGGTCATATTACGTTTTTAGGTCACCTGAGACAAAGTCTCAAGTGACCTATTGCGATCGCCTTTTGTCCGGCGTCGTCCGTCGTGCGTCCGTAAACAATTTACATTTTCGACCCCTGAACCAATTTCAATGAAATTTTGCAGAAAACTTCCATGGCCAAAGGTCAACAAAAATAGTGGCTGATTTGGTCCCCAGCCCCCAAATCGACTAAAATTTCAAAAATCTTCTTCTCAAGACCCAGATATGATAGAATCAAATACTCTTAATATATGGAAGGGTCTTAAGGTGCTTTACCAAAATTGTGAATTTCTTGACTCTGGGGTCTCACGTTTCCCCCTGGAGAGAGGGTAAACTTTACTATAGTTTATATAGGGAAATCACATTTTGGACCAACATTTGTTTAATTTCCATTGGAAGTAATTCAATTTAGGTTAGCATTATCAGTATTAGGTAGCATTTTGATAGTATGCACATATGAGCCCTGACTGACCCCCAGGGGCTGACGGGTGGGGCCAAAAAGGGTCGAATTGACTGAAATTTCAAAAATCTTCTTCTCAAGACCCAGATATGGTAGAATCAAATAATCTTTATAGATGGAATGGTCTTAAGGTGCTTTACCAAAATTGTGAATTCCATGACCCTGGGATCTCACGTTTCCCCCTGGGGAGGGGGTAAACTTTACTATAGTTTATATAGGGAAATCACATTTTGGACTAACATTTGTTTAATTGCCATTGGAAGTAATTTAAATTAGGTTAGCATTATCAGTATTGGGTAGCAGTTTGATGGTATGCACATATGAGCCCTGACTGACCCCCCGGGGCTAATGGGTGGGGCCAAAAAGGGTCGAATTGACTGAAATTTCAAAAATCTTCTTCTCAAAACCCAGGTATGGTAGAATCAAATACTCTTCATAGATGGAAGGGTCTTAACATTTCATGACCCCGGGGTCTCACGTTTACCCCTGGAGAGGGGGTAAACTTTACTATGTTAGCATTATCAGTATTAGGTAGCAGCTTGTTGGTATGCACATATCAGCCCTGACTGACCCCCAGGGGCTGATTGGGGGGCCAATAAGGGTTGAATTGACTGAAATTTATAAAATCTTCTTCTCAAAGACCCAGATATGGTTGAATCAAACACTCTTCATAGATGGAAGGGTCTTAAGGTTTATGACCCTGGGGTCTCACGTTTACCCCCTGGTGAAAGAGGGGGGCAACATTTATTATGGTTTATAATGGCAAATGATACTTTGAATATTACATGTTAATATCTTGATTGGAATTATAACCCTGAGTTGACAGTTTGATACTTCAAAAATTTTGAGATAGCCCTCCCCCAAGGGCTGTAGGATGGGGTCCAAAGGAGTCAGTGTGCTAAAATTTCTTCATTTTCCTTGTTTAGAAAAATCAGAGGTGCTAGTTTCAAATACTTTTCAGTCTGAAACCTGTATGCTAGATATTTAGTAGGGTGGGGTTTGTTTTTTTCACTTTGAATAATATTTCTGTTCATGTTATAAACAAAATCAACTCTCTGTATAAATATATCAGGTGACCGTTAAGGCCCATGGGCCTCTTGTTTCACTAATAACCGAATAATTGTTTGATCTAAAATAGACTTACTTTATAACATTTATCCCAGTGATCAGTTTGCTATATTTTTATTGCGAGAGTTTGCTCTTTCGTGTTTATCAAGTGCAGTGTGTGGAAGATATACTAACCTTCATTACAAACGTTACCAGTGTAATAAAACGACAACCAGACCTATTGTACTCCGATTACCCCTGAAGACACGTTTGAACACTTCCAATTCAAAGGTTGGAATAGTTCATTATTAAATTTCAGGGGTGAATCAGTTAATTGTTAATGTAACAGGAAATACAAACCAAGGTTGTTGGGTTTTTTTCATTTACGTAGCTTGCTCAATACAAGTCAGCGATGTTACAGCAAAGATGCTGTTGGATGATCCCTCCATGCTGCTTACTCGACGTGGAGAAGTGGAAGTCAAGGTAAGAGGAGATTGTAAAATAGTATCAATTTGAACAAACCGTCAAATCAAAATACCATGGTATTTATGATGTACTGTGAAAACAGGTAAACAGCTTCGCGGATTCATAGTATATATCGAATAACCCCACAAATAAGTATGGTTCTTTCTTATAACCTAATTTAAAAGGACAGACAAAACTCTTTTAGCTCATAATCAATTATTCTGTTTTCAATTCTGACACAAAAAAAAAATGCACAAAACACAACATTACGCAGTTAATTCATCTCACAGTTACTGCAACCAAGTAAAGTTTTTATTACAAATACCGCGCCAAACAACCGGTATATGACGTCATCATTTTTTGCGTTGTCTGATCTTTTTAGGTCATGCGATATAACCTGAAAAAGTCTATCATTGGAGGAATAGGCAAAATTAAATTATGTAGTTATTATATTTAATATGATCGCATATAAACATAAAAAAATTGTCGTGTTAAATATTTGTTCAGGCATTAAAACAGTACTTTTTCAGAGTAAAAGACAAAATTATGCAGTTAAATGCTTTTTAGGCGGAGAAACAGGCCCAATTTCTTTATGTCAATTTGAGCTGAAAAATCTTGACCTGAAATTGACATTAATTTCAGATCAAATTGAGGTTAAACTTAGGTCAATTTCAAATGAAATATTGTTTAGGTCACTTTCATGTCAAATTTATCCGAAAAACATTTCATGTAAATTGTGATGAAATTTGCATGTCAATTTCAGGTCAAATAGACGTCAATTTTTTTTTAATTGAAATTGCCTTTTCTTTACTCTTTTGAGGTAAAATTGACCTGAAAAATTGACCTGACAATGACATAATAGAATATTGCCTGTGCAACACATAAAATCAAGAAAATCATGATTTGTGTAAGGCTGCCACATAAGCCTGCCTCTCAAGGTTTTTTAAGAGGCCTTCATACAGTTATACGCTTGATCTTTTACTGCAATCCTATGTTAATGGTTTTCTCTTTTCAGGGCAAAGGACAAATGACTACGTACTTTTTGGACTGGAAAAACATGGAAAAAACAAAACCCTCATCATTCATTACTAAATGCTGAAGAAGCTGACCACCTGAAGTGGAACTTTTAACCAAGAGTACTACCTTATGTATAAAAATTATATTGTTTCCATCTGTTAAACCGACTGTGGGAGGGAGGATAGCTTTGGGGCTGAAGATGTTCACTATTTCTGTTGCTATGCCATTCCGAGCTCTATTTCTGTTTGGGCTATAACATTTAAACGGCTGAAAAAGCAAAGTTCTAGCTCTAAATCAGGACTTAAATGTCAAATATTTGGTTTACCTTTTCACCCCATAACCTTTGAACGCCTATGTCTATTTTTCATAAAATATCACTTGTCCAACAACTATAGCATTCCATATACCTACCTGTGTCTGAAAGTTCATATTAATGACAGGAAATCACCGTGGTGTTTGACTGGGAACGACAGAAAATCACTGGAATATTTGTCGGGGCCCGACGGAAAATCATTGGAATGTTATCTGGGAACGACAGAAAATTACTGTATTGATTGTCCAGGAACAACAGAAAATCACTGCAGTGTTTGCCCGGAAACAACAGAAAATTACCGAAGTGTTTGTCCGGAAATAATAGAAAATCACTGCAGTGTTTGTCCGGAAACAACAGAAACTCATTGTAGTGTTTTGTCTGGGAACTGCAGTTAACACTGCATTGTTTGTGCGCGAACATCAAAAAATCACTGTAGTGTTTGTCCGGGAACGGCAGAGAATCATTGCAGTATTTGTCCGGGAACGGCAGAGACTCACTGCATTATTTGTCTGGGTTAGGCAGAAAATCACCGGAATATCTGTCCGGGACCAATACAAAAAACTAACAGAAATTGATACGTATTACTATTAATTTTATTTAATCATGACACACGTTGGTTTCTCTAGTGTCTGAAAATGTTTAGAGCGATTTGACGTTCAAATGTGCCTTGTTACTTTATTGCATAGCGTTTCCCCCGTAACTAACACATATCATATCTGTGGATATTAAGTCCCATTTTCGTATATTTTTGTATGAGATTTTTCATTTGTAAGACGTTACTTTTATGTTGTCTGGTGCTATATATAAATAAATACATATTCATTACATGTATATATCGGCATTATAGTCTTCATATTAAATATATCCGAAACTTAGTTGGAAAAAAACACAGGTAGATGACGTCACCTTTTACATTTTAAAAACTAGCGTTTTCTGGGACAAAAAAAAACCACACCATTATTTATAAAGCATATGTTTAGAATCGTTCAGTGTAATTGATCTTACATTTTAAAGTTTTGATATGTCATTGGTTGTCCAAATGGAATAGACAAGTAAATCTGGCAAGTCCCTGTGTGGTTGGAATACAAATAGGCTCATTTGTAGAGAAAATGTATAGCTGATTTTAAAGCCTATTCCTACTACCCGGGGTGTCTGGATATATCAGATGTCTGGTATAGATGATATTACGAAATATAACCTACTCTATACTACAATTAATTATTTGTGGAGATGACCCCGGATTTGTCTAGGTCTCGGTTTCCACGCTCCACGCTAGGTCTCCCCTGAGATGTCTACCATCAGGTTGTGCAGGTGATTGTACGAGCTGTAGTAACCTACTCTATGTAACAGGAGCGTGTTGGGCCCATTTTGTCAGTACGTCAAACTGCACCCGACTCGCCCTGCAGACCAACCAGTAACTTGTAACTGTCGTAGAGAGAAAACAAACGCCTTGAAATACAATTAACAATTTATCATTTACAACATAGATATTTACAACATAAGATACATAGAAAACAATTACAAAAGCTCACCCCGAATTTATCCCAAATAGACAATACGAAACTAAAGAACCAATCACAACAGAGGATTCACAGAAGAACGCAGGTACAGCGGACACTGACGAAAAAGAAAGCGACTACGAACAATGCACGACAAAAGCATCGAACTCAGACAGGACACGTGAACAGAAAACAACAACAAAGGTCAGGGTGAAACAGGTACACATAGTACAGACATGCCGTAGAATTGAGCTTATAGCCCTGTAAAATTATTTCACTCGTAATTCGCGCACTGTCCACGTAGACCAGCGCACGTGGCGAGCGAGAGGAAACCAGCGAGGTGAAAAAAAATACAAGTAAAAGAATTGACAAAATACGTCAAAAATAGCGTCAGTTCGACGAACTTCTGATCACTAAATGTCGTGAATTCGGTATGTGTTATCACACACCGTCACAACATGCATCCTCGATATCCGGGTTACGCTCACTTTCGCTCTCTGCACCCCTAGATGGCGAAATTGAGGCACGAAGAGACCTGTTTGATTGGTCTCGGGTAAAAGAAAAAAGACCAATCGCTTGGCTGATACCTGTCCTTTGAAGATTACAAAGGAGAGACGCCCGACTTCAAAGCCTGTCACCAGGACCTATGTACCAAATGTCAGCACACCAGGACACATATACCAAATGTCAATACACCAGGACCTATGTACCAAATGTCAACACACCAGGACCTATGTACCAAATGTCAACACACCAGGACATGTGTACCAAATGTCAACAGGGACAAAATTGAATTTAAAGTCAACACGGTTACAAGTTTTGTTTCTATTGAAGCAAGATCTGTGTTGACTTTAAATTCAATTTTGTCCCTGTTGACAAACCAAGTTTGATTTCATTTCTTGTCAAACATGTTTATTCATGTTTAGCGTCTAATTTATTTGGTGGAATCGATAATTATTCAAGCGGGATTTCAAATCTAGAAACCATTGACCTGAAGGAAGTGGTGGATAATCGTATGGTGTCTCACCCAATCAGAGGACATGGAACGATATTTCATTGTGAATAGGTTTGAACATAACACACTTGGCCAGGACCAGGAAAAGTGTATTATACCTCTTTGATTTAAAAACAGTCTGAAAATAACAGCAGGTTATGCGATGGAAATTTACGCCATTTTGGTTTACATTCGCGTAGAACTGGAGAAGTAGAAACTCTTTTGCCTCATTCAAATATTTGTGGGCAACACTCTATACCCTCAAAAAGAGCGGCGCTCTGCATTGTTATAACATTTAATACCCTTTATTTAAGGATACACTGCGGGTGTTTATGAAAGACATTCAAATAACTGTTTGAAGATGTACGATCCATTTGCAATTAAAGGCTTAGATTCCCTTTCCAGAGTACGCCATAATCTTCATTTAAAATAGAATGGAGTAGCATTGCCAATGATTTCTCCAATATACTATTGAACACAAGTCATCTCCAATGGCATTGATCTCAGAGGTAAATGCCATGAACGTTTCCAGACTCGGACCTTCGCTAAGTTCCTTGGCAAATGGAAGTTTTTGAAAGTAGAGATGTTAAGATACAAATACCAACTATAATCTATTTTTTATTAAACCAGCTTTTCCGTAGTGTTCAAAGTCATGATGTTCTTCTTATCACGACATCTCCTTTCAATGTTTACACAATGTTGTAAGATAATATGAACAACCTGCTTATTTGTTTATCATCACTTTCCATATTTTTATTTATAGGACTTAAGGTAAGAACTCTTATTAAATGTCTTCTCTTGGGAAGCAAATACTGTTCTCAAAGAATGCACGCCAGAACAGTCTAGGCATCCATTTTATCAGACAGAATACTCAACCTATTTCTAGATATTAAGGACTTGAGAAGTCGGGGAAAAATAAAAGTTAATGTCATGTAGGAAAATTAATGGCAGTTCGATTAATCCGAGGTTACTTTACATTGAATATGAAAGACGACGTCGGGATGAAGAGAACTATTCGACAAACGGGAGGTATGCGAGTAATGCCAGTTCGATTAAGAGGTTTCACTGTATTCTTAATTTCTATATCAATGTCATTCACCGCCTATTATGTTTGACAATTATCCAGGCTTTCTTAAGTTTCCATTAATTCTTGATGAACAATTTTTTTAGTTTTCTTTCTTGTTCAACAAATGTTAACAGCTATATATTAATGAAAACTATCAATAAACTAATACTAAAAATGTTTTGGATACTAGTTGCTGCAAATTTAATTGTCACTAACCTATTATTAATCTTTCTAGCTTTGGATAATTAAAGTACCTTATAATTAAACGACTTGTTGGAGAGAAAAAAAAACAATGAATAAATTATGGTACAAGGAAAAAGAATCACAGCTTAGATTGCGAAAGCATTGCAAATAACGTTTCATCATTATCTTAATGCTTTACGAGATACATCTAGTAACAGTACTAATTGCATGCAGAAATGGAAACGAATTTGTGTTATTTTAAAAAACAAACATTCGTCACTTCAGATCATGTTAACCTTAATTTTCTTGTACATTTGGGCAAGTTGTACAGCAAAAATGCAAGTAAAACAACGAAAAAAGATAAAAAGCTTTTCCAGGTTGTCGCCCTTTAACTGTCGGAACTAGGACCTAAATAGAAAAAAATATGTTTATATGTACATTTAAAGATTTAAAACTACTAGGTATTGAACGAGCTGTCAAATCAAGAATATGTCATTGACTCAGCATTGTGAAATATAAAAGGAAATTATCCAAGCTTGTACAGTTTATGAACTTTTTTTGTTTACGTCAGCATTTTGAACCTTTATATCAGGCGTTAGACAAATATGTTTGGTGTGGTATTTCAGTAACTTTACGTTATCTTTCTATCCTCTGGCCTCCTGTCTGTCGCTCTGTCTCACTGTCTCTCTGTCTCCCTGTCTCTCTCTGTCTCACTGTCTCTCTGTCTCACTGTCTCTCTGTCGGGGTCTCTTAAACACAAACCATGATATTTGAGCACTTTTATGAATATATTATGATTTACGCTAACAAAATTAATAATCAATCGGAGGACTGACTTGTTTGTTTACACTGTATCAAGTTTCAAGTTCTATTCGATTTTTAGGCCATTGGCCCATCAGTATACAATACATATTATACACAAATCATGGACAATGTACAGAGAATGAAGACAATCATATTCTATTACAATACCCTTAATTTGCCTCATATATGAATTTTCCTAGTAGACACAATTCTTTAATATTATGGACACTAAATAACTGAACGACTTTAAACACAGATGTTTTTTTCCAATAATAGCTTTTGATAAAACGGACCAATAAATTCGTCCTCTACTTCAGAGGGGGAGTTACACTGTGTTCCATTTTGTTCTGACTTGTCCACTCTATGTTGATATTCGTAAAAAGTTCATTAAGAAGTATTACTGGAGCCGCCTATCTTCATATAAACTTGTCCAGCTGCTATCTGTACATGACAGAAAAGAGCTGTGTAATTTAGGAAAATATCTGCAATCAAGTTGATTAGAACGGTCTAGATTCCAACCTTAGGTTATTGTGTTTTTTCTCACACTGACTGATAACATTTGAGTACTTGTTTATTTTCAGGTTAACACATATTGTTTTATCCATCCCCTAATCACTACATCACTGTATACAAATTGTATGCCTGTTTTATGTTTTTTATAATTAACATACTCTTTGTTGAGCCCCGGTTGTTAAGCAAATGTTGTCACCTAGTCTGTTTCCCGATAGCCACAGTACACTTAGGTAAGGTAATTTTATAAGCGCTGTCCATCTTCCGATACTTTATTTATCTTGTACTTTTTGCTTTTACTGCAAAACCTAAATATTGTGCTGACGATCTTAAAAGTTCATGTGCTGTCTGTCTCTTGACCTCCCAATACCTTCTATATAATTATACATGTATCTGTCAAGTGATGAAAACTATCTCCATGCTGTGAAGCTCTGTTTGCTTAATGTCTCATCAATTCGCCAACAAAATAACACCAAAACATTTGTGATTGGCGAAAAATTGGCTCACTTTTTAGGAAGTGGCCGCAATTTTTTATTCATATTCTGAAAAATTTGGATAAAAACTTCTTTTACTAATTCTTAACTTAGTAACACATGATTTCGAAAAAATCCAATTATTTCTTCAAACAAATTAAAATGTCTATAAAATATAAGCAAAGGTGAGCGGATGAAAAAAACATCCGCCAATAGTATACATGTATGCAATGACAATAGTATACACATATGCAGTGTCTGACAAAGACTCTAGTCACTGATCTTTG